GGGAGGACAAACCTGGGCAGGTATTCTAGAAGGCCAAAGAAAAGACCTGTCAGAGATGGGGAAGACAATAAGAGAAGATTGTAGGCATGGAAGACAGAGAATCAAGATTCAATGTCACGATTACAGATGGCCTGGAAGAAGTAAGAATCAAATGACAGAAGGAAATACTCCTAAGTTGAAAAAATACCTGAGTGTGCAGAGAAGAGCTCACTGTCTTATGTGCAAGAGCATGAAATGAGAACACACTTCACTTCTGGCAAAATGTTTGCTTTTTAAAGATAATGGCAAATCAAACAAATGTTGCAGAAAAGAGAAAACTGCTCTACATAGAGGAAGAACTGGGATGTCTTCAGGCATCTATTCATCACGTCAAGATAAGAGGTAGTGAAATATCTGCTGCAGGGCTTTGGAGGGAAAGCGATTCTGACCCACAGACTTCATCCCATCAGCAGACAACAGGGGTTGGGGTTCTGGAGGTCAGAGAACTGTTGGGCAGTCTATGGTTACAGATCACAGAGCAACTCCATGTGCAAAGTTACATGTGAGGTGAGATTTGAGGCTGGGGACGCAGTTAGAGAATGCAGGACAGGACTTCTGCCCTCAGCAGGCTCTACTTGCTAATTAGGGCTGGTGAGGGCAGGGGTCCAGCAGGGAGTGGAGCTCCCAGCACATGTAGGTGCGCTTCATAGGGACTTGCCAGACTGAAGAGACAGAAAATAAGAAAACCATAGAAGCATGAAGATAACAGTAGAAAAGAGTAGAGAAGTTAGGGAAATGAAGCCTAGCAGACATGAAGATGAAGAAGGAACATAGACTTCTGCGTTAGGACCTTGTCTGTTTTGCTGACATCCAGGAGAATGTGCACATATACATGGAGTTCTCAACAAACAGAGGATATGTGTTCTTTTCAAACACAGGCATGCAATAGTCACAAAAATTGGCCTCTATTGGGTCACAAAGGAAATCCCAACAAATTCCCAATAGCATAATCACAGAAGCTATATTTATTGCTCACAATGCCATAATACTAAAAATTAGACACAAAAACAAAGCAAAATCAGAAAGTTTTCTACTCTTCTAATTACCTCTGAATTTTTATTGAAATGATAATCACATTGGAAATGATAATTTACTTAGAAAACTTTGACAGTGGGCACACTATATATCAAAGCTTGTGGGATGCAAACAACTGCATTTGAGGGGAAATTCATTATACACACACATATTATATATAATGAATATATATATATATATGAGCCAGCTTTTTATTTTATTGATCAATCTCAATAGTTTTTTTGTTTTTGCTTTTATATTAAGTAACATTTGCCTTTTACTCTCCTGTTTTCTAACATATTTCTTATATATTTTCTACATATCCTAATATATAAAATCCACTTCTAAAACTGCCTCTCACTTAAGGCAGACCTGGATAACTTTATAGGTAAACTCTTTCCAAACTTCCAGAAAATTATCATGTCATACAAAGTATTCTAGAAAATAGTAAAAAGAGAATCCTTGCCAAGTTGTTAGTATAACCTGATAACAAAGCTGAACAAGATGGCCTGAACATGGAAACCTGCAAATAAAAAGCCAGTTTTTACACAAAGAGATCAGGTCCCAATAAGATTTACATAACAAATGAAAAGATGTTTCAGAATTAAGCAATCTATTAATGATCTACAATCATTAACAGAAGAAAAACTATAGGACCATCTCAAGAGATGGCAGAAAGCAGTTGATAAAACTCACATGCCTGCTTTAAAGCATTTAGGAAGTCAGGAATAAATAGATGCTTCTTTGTTTTGAACTATTGAACATAGAGGAGGCAACATAATTCACCATGTAGCACTGCAAGCAGGTGACTAAGGATGACAGCAAGACATGAATGCCAATGTCACTACCACTTAAAAGTGTAGCACAGGTTGTCTTCAGGGTCATAAGACGAGCAAGAGAAGTCAGTGTAAATCATGGAAAAAACCATATAAATGTCCTTCCTGCGAACAAGATGATGATCTACCTGGAATAGCTAAGAGAATCATGTGAAAGACTATTAGGACTAAGAGTCTATTAGGTGCTAAGTTATAAAATATAAACATAAAGTCAATAGTGATCTCTTCACCATCAGAAACCAATTAGAACATGTAATAGATAAAAAAGATCTCACCCACAATGTCAACAAAATGTGTAACATACTGACTGAAAAACCTCTTAATAAAAAAAGTAGAAGCTTTGAAAAAAAATCTCTAAAACTTGAGTGAAAGTACATAAATGGAGACAAGTATGACACAGTTGGATGGGAAGCCTCAATATTGTAAGATATAAGATTTTTCCCAAACAGATAAATGTATTTGGAGCAATCCAATCAAAACTTTAAAAAATTTTTTTCACCTTCAAGAGAAGATTGTATAAAGTCACTTATATGAGTAAAGGATTGAGAAAAGTTAAGATACTTTATATCAACAAAAAGAATTATTTGGGGCATCTGGGTGGCTCAGTGGTTGAGCATCTACCTTCAGCTCAGGGAGTGATCCCAGGGTCCTGGAATCGAGTCCACATCAGGGTCCCCACAGGGAGCCTGCTTCTGTCTCTGCTTATGTCTCTGCCTCTCCCTCTGTGTCTCTCATGAATAAATAAAATCTTAAAACCAACAAACGTGAAGGGAAGACCATCTGTCAGATATCAAAGTATATTATAAATTATTATAATTAAAATAAAGTTGCATTTGTAGACAAATGGGACTTCTGCATCAATGGGACAAAGCAGAGCATAAGGAAATCAGGCTCATGAAAAAAAAGAAGGTTAATATATATTAAAGGGGGCATCAATAGCCAGCACATAAAAGATGAATTATTTAATAATGATTTGGTGACAAATGCTTCATTTGAAAAAATAAGGTTAGATCTTACCATATATTATTCGGAAAATCAAAGAAGGGAGGAACTAACGGTCTACCTGTAAGTTTACATTGCTTAGAATTGTCCCTGTATGGTGCACGGTGATAAGAAGACTAACTTTTATTGGACTTGTTATTGTTTTAAAATTTTCTACAGGAAATGCACCCCTACTGCTTGCACCCTGGACCAATGGCTCCCACTCCCACGACTCTGCTGGGGACTACCTTGAGGCAATCTTTTGCAGGCACTGAGCCTAGGTGTGTGTAATAATTATTAATTAATAACAGGGAACAGGAGACAATGGAGAGTAAGAGGTCGATTTTGCTAAAATACAGATACCTTTACAGAACTGTATTTCTAAATGTACTATACATATATTAACGCACAAATACAACTACAGTTATTTTGGGGAGAAGGTGGGGATTTGGGTTGTGGTCAGGGAGGACTGTATCTGTATGTTCACAATTTTCTTTACATTATATTCATTTATTCATACAGTTAAAAAGTATGCAAACAGTTAAAAATACTTGCATGTATATGTACAAACATATAGGATCTAACCTTATGAAATATATCTAACCGTATAAAATATGTATATATATATATACATATATATATATATATATTTTTTTTTTTTGAGAAGAGAACTGCTTTAGTAAATGAAGAGGGCGAGGAGGGTCCCATTAGTGCAACACTACTGCCACCTACCGGGGAGGACACTGCCAGGGAGGCAGAAGCAACATTGGTTCTAGTTTTTCTGCTGGCCCTGTCTCCTATCAATGCCTTGCAAAGATTACCACCAGAAGACAACTTTCAAGCCACTTCGGCATAAATAGGAAGGTTCACGCGGCCAGTTGTTGTGGATACATGGCAAGTGAGTCATGCAGACAACCATCAAGAATATTCCTTCAGGCAAGTGACCCAAAGTCTCTGTAAAACAGTCTTCACTTGAGCTAGCTAACAATGAGCCATCATTGAACAGAAGTTTATATTTCTACTGTATCATCAAAATAGTCCCACATTGGCAGATTTGTAATGATATGGTTTCACAGAGGAAAAAATGAGACCCTAGATCAAAAAGAGGATGTTTTCTAGGCAACAACTCAGGTAGGACGGATGCTAGATTCTGTGATCTGAGGGCCTCAGTTATGTTGACAGCAATATGAGCCTATAGAAGGCAGAGGCAACCTAACTAGATCTCCCATTAGACTCTCAGTTTCAAACGCAATCCATTGTTTATATGAGGTCATTCAAACTTTCCAGGTCACATGTGTCACTTTTGAGTTTAGAAAATATTGAGTCCAGAGTGGGCTCTACAAAGTTCCACATTCAGTCCGCCGTGATGGGCTTTGCCAGGGATACCTGAAGTTGTAAGCAAAATGGTATGTAGAGGCATGCGTGTGTGTGTGTGTGTGTGTGTGTGTGTGCATTTTCTTATGGAAAGAGTCCATAGCTATTATCATAGTCTCAAAGGAGGTTTCTGAACTAATCCATGTGGGCAGAGCCACTGAGGATTCTGAGTGGGGGTGTGAGGTGGCTGAGAGAATCACAGAATGTGAGTAAACCATGCCCCCTGAGTTATCTTATTAAAATGACATTTCCTGAGCCCTGTACTGTGTCTAGGACAGAGTTTAGTTCATTGTAAACATCTTACTCACTCATTACACCGTTCTTTAAAGTGGGTTGTTAAATTATCCACAAAAACCTGAGCCCTTACCCAAGGTCACACAGCTGGATTTGGAGACCTCATACCCTTACCCCTAAGCCAGCGGCCATCAAGCTTTAGTACAGCAGAATCACCAGGAGAGCGGGTTAGCACACATGCCTCGACTCCTTCCCCACAGTTTGTGAGCAGGGGGGCCTGAGAATCTGCATTCTAACTCATTCCCCAGTGGTGCTGATGCAAATGCACTTTGAACTGGAAGCTCTCGTCTCCAGAGAGGAGGTCACAGAGCCCCAGAGACGTGATGTGAATCATCTAGGCCCCTCAGCTACTTAGCAGCAAACCAAGATGAGAACCTGGGTCTGTGAATTCTAATCCTTTCCACATCACTCATGCATGAAGGATGGCACATCCTACTGAAAAGTGTTTACCAGTTTTATTACCTGCTGTACGTCCAGCCCCTGGGAATGGGCGTTGGGAGAAGACAACTCCTTGCTTGGCTCCTCTGAGCCCAGCCGGGCCCTTCTCCACCTCCTGGCCTTCCGGTCCACAGTGTGAGGGGCCTCCTCAGGCTCGCTGCTGTCCGAGGTCTCCCTGCTGGCTGCCTGCGGGTTGAAGTTCACGTCCAGCTCTCCCTGCAGGCGCATCTTCTCGGCTTCAGGGTCCCCGGGGGCCTTCCTCTGCAACCAGGACAGCCTGGCCCGGTGCCCAGCTTCCCGGGAGGAGCCTGCAGAGGAGGTCTCTGAGTCGGAGCACATGGCCTCGGGGTTTGGGGAGAGCCCCGAGGAGGCAGCTGAGGGGCCTTGGTCCGAGCCCTGGGCCTGTGCGGGCTGAGGCTGGGGGTTCCTGGGCCGGCCTCGGGGCCTTGGGCACAGCGTGCTCAAAGCTTCGCTCCAGTCAAAGTCCTCCTCACTGTCTGAGCCCATCTCGTCGTAGGCAGAGGCCACGCTGGAGGCTGCCTCCAGGGCCTGGAATGTGCCACTCTTGGGTTTGGCCAGCAGGCGGGTGGGTGGCAGAGTACCATCCTTCAGGGCCAGCCAGTTCCCGTCAGGGCTCTGCAAAACCTCGGCCACGTCTGCGGGTGGGAGGGAGAGAGAAACCAGGGAGGGCTGTTATCACCTGACAGCAAGGCAAGGCTGCCATCTGTGTCTTCCCCACGACTGCTTTGGGGTCTTGGGGAGCAGCTGACTCTGGAAGGTTCAAGAGGGCACACCTCTTGAGGAGGCAGAGTGGAAGGTCCCCAAGGAGTCCCGTGAGGCTTTGCAGGCCTCTCTTGCTCCAAAGATTAGGAGAAACTCCGAGATCTGGCTCCTATTGCACCTGTGCGTGGGTAGATGATGACTTCGGTCTCAAAATGCCCCCTCTCCTGCCCTAGACTGGCTTGGGTGTAGATGGGGGGAAGGGAAGGTTACTGGTGGCAGCTCTGGGTTTGGCTCTTTGCCCTTGGGCCATGGTTTTCCCTGGTTGGATGGGAGAGGACTCTGTTACCTGCCCTGGCCTCCCTCAAAGTTAACAACCCCTGTCTTGGTACTTCTACAAATCCCATCCACAACAGCCTCTGCGATGGCAGTGTGAAGTAAGATATATATGTGTACACACACACACACACACACACACACACACACACACACTGGACGCTGACCGTGGTTCCTGCTAATATTTGGTCCTGACCCTAGTTTCTGAAACAGGGCTCCTAAATTAAATTCCGTGTAATTTCCTGGGTGATGGGAGCATCTTTCGTTCTAAGGAGGCAACTATGGGCGGCTCCAGGATGAGACTGGCCACCAGAAAGACCATGCCATGATTAGAAATGTAGAACTTTCAGCCCCAGCCCCATCCTCCAGAGAAGGAAGAGGGGCTGGAAAATGAGTTAATAATAGACTGTAGCTACATAATAAAGCTTCCATAAAAGTCCCCAAAGTAATGGGGTTCTGAGAGCTTTGGGGTTGGCACATCCATGTGCTTAGATAGTGGCATACCCATCTCCTCAGTGCTTAGGACCCTCCAGGGCCTTGCTCCATGTACCTCTTCATCTGGTTGTTCATCTATATCCTTTATTATATAATGAACTGGTGAACATAAGCATTTCCCTGAGTTCTGTGAGCTGAGCTGTTCCAGCAAATTACGGAGCCTGAGGAGGGGGTCATGTAGAGCTGGTTGGTCAAAAGTACAAGTGAGGACCTGAGACTTGAAATTGGTATCTGAAGTCATGTAGTCCTGAGCCCTTGACCATAGGATCTGGAACTAACTTCAGGGAGACAGGCTCAGCATGGAACTGGAGGATGCCCGGCTGGTGTCAGAGAAGTGGCCAATGTGGAAAAATCCCACATATCTGGTCCCAGGAGTGTTGTGTGTGAGTGGTGGGGGAGTAATAGAGTTTGCTTCTACTCAGCACGTAAGTTTATTTTCAACTCAAGGCACATGCCTCATTGTAGGAGAGATGTGGGGGAGAAAGAGGTTGGTATTTCCAGTCATATTTTACAGATGGGGAGACAAAGGTGGGTGAAGTTACATAACTTGTCGAAGGTCACAGAACCCACAACAGGTCCAGTCAGAACGAGGAGCATCTCTGCCCAAAGCCAAGCTCTGGCTTATAGACTGTGCTGTGGAAGCCCTTGGTCTGCTGCGATCAGCTGCCCTGATCAAGGGCAGGCTGGAGTGGTTCTCAGTTTGGGGTCATGGTCTGGGTTGGCCTAAACTGGGCTCAGTTTTGTCCAGAGCATTTGTGACAGCTGGTGGCTGGGGCCTCAAGGGTTGACCTGCATGCCAAGGGGCAGAGGGTGCTTAGTCTTACTTTTGTTGAAGCCAAACAGGATGGTGTGCCTTGGGAGTGAGTGGGATGGCACGGTCCTCCTCAGCCACGACTATCTGGCAGAGTCTCGTGGCCTTGGGCACAGCAGTTGCCAACAGAAGCTGTTTTCCTTTATTAGGAACCTCACAGGACTTGGGTGATGGGATTTGGGTGATGAGGGTCCTGGGGCTGTGGAGGAGATCAACTTGCGTGTGGACCCCAGCTGCGGGGCGTGAGGCCTCTGGGGCCACAGCTCCGCTGTGCTGGGACACTGAGGCACAGTCCTGCCAGATGCCATTTCCACACGGATTTCCTACCAATTAAATGACTACTGTTTCAGAGAATGAACTTAAAGTGGTCAGTGTTTCACAGTGTTGTCCACAGAGCACTGTACTTGCCAGGACTTCCTTAGAACCACAGCCTTAAGGGATTCAGATGTTGGTTGAACACATTTTCAACTCAGAGACCCAGTTCTAGGGTCTTACTGGCAGGACATCTGAGTTCCCTTTTTTCTTGAGTCAGAAAGTGGGCTTCTCCTCTTCCAGGAGGATTCTGAGCCCAGTGGGGGCCGATTTAAGCATAGTCCTCCTGGAAGCCTGAGGGCCTGGGCCCTGCCTCTCCCTGGCTCCTCCTGCTGTCTTTGGGGTCCATTCCCACCATCTCCACATGGCAAAGCTCCAGTGGCCCCTCAAAGACCTCATCTCTTCAGTTCCCCTTTTCTAACAGCACTTTCTTGTCTCCCTGCCCAGATGTGGCCTCCTCCTTCCCTGAGTCCTCCTGGTGTGACAGCCTGTCTGGCTCATCCCATGACCCAATCTGGGTTCTGGCTGATGACACACAGGGATGAGCCCTCCTCCAATGATGACAAGTCCCTGCGGCAGGGGCTGGATCTCAGCGAATTCTCCAGCCTGCTCCGTCCCAGTACCAGAGCCAGCTGGTGCAGAGGGAAGAGCAGAGGCTGTGGAGTTGGTGGGCCTGGGTGGAAAGCTCTGGGAGCCTCTCAGCCTCAGTACTCTCATTGGTGAAAGGGGCACATTCCCTGGCTCGGTGTGGGGATTAAAGGAGGTGACACCCATCAACTGTGTTACATGTGTCTGCTCAGAGCAGGAGATGGATGCTTAATAGAGCTTCCCCCCTCACCTATCCATGGGCAAAGAACAAGCACATTGGATTCTAGTAGATCCAGGGCTGAGCCCGTTTCCTGACCTGAAAATGGGGACAGTGGCTGTCAGGGAATTATAAGACAACATACGTAAAGTCTTGATCATACTGTCTGCCACCCCTCAGCCTTTTTATCTTCTGCCTGTTGAATTGGCTTCTATTATTTCCTCCTGCCTACAGATCAGCACTCCATACGTATCTACATGTGATTCTTTGCCTAAGATGGCTCTGGATCCCAGGGATGGCTTGGCTGTCCCTCAAGTGGGGGGGGGGGCTCCTGGGAGCAGCCCTCAACCAGAGGCTGGGGAAGCTGGTGGATTAGTACCCCCACTCCCCTGCCTGCTGCGCAGGAGTGTGTTCTACACTGGCTCTTGTTGCTCCCCAATGGAAATGAGCTCCATTTCTGCTTGATCGATAATGAATCATTTGCCTTCTTTTCCCTTCCCTGTGTCGTGTCCTCTCCCCTCTCTGTGTTTCCTGAGCTCACCTCCTAATAAACCACAGAGTCTCAAATCTTTATATGAGAATCTGCAAACAGAGACACTCCCACGATGCGAAGCAGGCTCAGCCCTGGCTGTGGAGAGTGTTCATCTCCCTGTGGAGGGTGTGTCCCCTCCCTTCCCGGGCCCTATAGTCACCAAGTCTGCCCCCTGGATGGTCTTTGGAGACCAGCTAACATGCTGCTGCTTCTCAGGGGCACATCCTTGGCCTTCTTTCCTTAAGAAGCTAGGCTACTCTGTTCTCTGGGCTTTCACTTTTAAACATTCAAACTATACTATAGTTTATTTTCTTGGTTGTCTACCCTCATCCCCCTTGCCCCGCCCCCACCCTGACCACAGGTTGCATCTTCTTTACTGCTCTACCTCCAGCTCATGCGGAGGTCTGGCACCTCTGTGGGGCTTGTAAAGACTACTTGCTAGTGAACACAGCACCCACAGGGTGCAGGGGCAAGACTGCACCCTGGCTGTGAGACTCTTATAAGCCCTTCTGTCTGCAGCCTCTCCTGGGGCCATGGGAGGAAGCAGAGAGGGAAAGCCCCCAAGAATGCCACTCTGTGCCCTGGCTCCCAGGCTGACTGTGTTGTAAACGTGATCATGCACCTGCCTTCGACCCCTACTACATGGACGGCAGGGATTCAGTCTGTCACTGGCTCTTCTCTTCTGCCTTTTACAATCCCAGTTTACCACGTTCCTCCGAGAAAGCTAGAGGTTGACCAACTTTTATCTTTGTAAAAGCACAGCTGGCTCCCTGAATGCCCAGCCCTGTGAGAACCTGGTGGTCAAGCTGCATAATCGGAACTGCTCAAAGCTATACTTGGGCACCAATAGCACACTCTCTCAGTCCTCTGGGACTATCCACCAGAAACCCTGTGCCCTTCTGTTCTCTCCTTTGTCCGAGTTCTTTCTCTTTCATGGCTGTGTGGACAAATAACCAGTCAGCAACTCAAGAGCAGAGGGCTGTCCCCTGATTGTAATTTCCTAGCACTGAGCACATGCTGTGCATACAGTAGATGCTTGGTCAAGGTCTATAAAGTGAAAATGTGTTTGGGGAGACATTCATTGACTGCTGTAAGCACTGCCGAGGCTCAAAGTGGACCTGCTGTGGTTTCCTCAGCCCTACCATGTCCCTAAAGCCGACCCCAACCATGAATTAAAAGGCTCTGGAAGCAACCTTTCTCCTGAGGCATAAACAGAACTGCTGCAAATAGCCAAAGTGGACATTAACCTAGGCTGACCTCCACCTCTGGGTCTCCTCTGTTCTACATTTCTGCTCTACTGAGACTGGGCAATGCCCCTGGGAATAATCTGCTTCCCGCTATACATATCAAACACCCCTCAAGGCCTGTGGGGTTAGCCTGGGCATTTCAACATGCCAAAGCCAAGCATTCCTTAGAAAAAACAGTGGTTTTCTACATAAAGGCTTTATATTTTTGTGATTTTAAATCTCTGTCCTGAGGGATGCATGGATTTTTGAGAAGAGTATGAAATCTTTTTTGTGTGTCATATTGTTGAACACATTGTTTATGTTTATATACAACTGATAATTATATTTGGGTGCTTTCTTTTACAGAAAATTAGGTAAAAAGAGTCATGTTTTGAAAATCAAAATTCTTCTCAACTTTATTTGGAATGCTCATAATTCAGCAGGGAACTCTTTGTGAAATAGAATGTTTTCCAGAAGTTTTTATAATCTCCTCAAAATTTATCCGTGTGTAAGTGTGAATTTTGAAAGGCTATTTGTTGTGGTGTTGTTCATATGTTTGCTTTTGGGGAGGGAGGACATTTATTATCATGCTGTAGTTGAAAAAGCCTGCAAACCAGAGCCATGATGTTTACGTTTGGCCACATTAGCAGTGGGATCTTGAACAAGTCATTCACCCCCACTGTCCCTCAAGGTTTTTGTCTGCCATGCAAGAGAATGGTAACACTTGGCAGCTCTGGAGAAATGAATAAAATAGTGCCTGTAGATGGACCCTGCACATTGTAAAGTGATTTTTAAAGGGTAGCTATTATTTTTTATTGAAGATCTATTATATGATAATTCTCATGTGCCCTCTGGAATTTCAGAGACCCTTTCTAGAACTTTCAGTTTCTGGTGACAGAGAAAGAGAAAGAAAGAAAGAAAGAAAGAAAGAAAGAAAGAAAGAAAGAAAGAAAGAAAGAAAGAAAGAAAAAATATGAATGAATGAACAGATATGCTGGGCAGCAAGAGGAAAGTAAAGAAATTTAGAATAGAAAAATGCACTTAAAAAACAAAAACCCAAGCCATATACGTAAATATGAAACATTTCACATGCTCATAGGATCTCTGTGCAGATTCTACCCATGGGTTCTGCTAAAAGGTTCACATGGTAACCTGAATTGGGAAACTTCTAGAATGACTGTTAAAAACACTGCATGGTTTATGGTTCTTTGCACCATAAGAACAATGGAATTTGTTTCAATAGCTGTTAGTTTAATCCTCTCCCTTAGAAAAGTAGAAACGATAGCGCAATCTTTAAAAGCATATTTCTAAGATGCATAGTTTGCTGTTAAATTTTTGTGATGGTTGTTCAAAAAAGGGGCCTAGCTCTGACATGTCCTGGGAGTTGAGAGTCCTTTGTGTTTTCTTCTTGTGAGGACAATGCACCTAGCTTCCATTATGTGTAACCATGTGAGGAAAGCACAGACCTGTGCCAGGGTGGAGTGAGCATCCTGCCTCAGATGCTCAATCATGGGGTCCAGGAGACCTAGATGGCCTAAGCAGGGAGCCTCATGGCCCTTGGCTCTTATCCATGTGGTTCCAAGCACTTCACAGCCTTTTGATGTGTGACTTTGGAAAAGTGGCTTGGCTAATTTGGGCCTCTTTTTTTTTTTTAAATTTTTATTTATTTATGATAGAGAGAGAGAGAGAGAGAGAGGCAGAGACACAGGCAGGGAGATGCAGGCTCCATGCACCGGGAGCCCGACGTGGGACTCGATCCCGGGTCTCCAGGATCACGCCCTGGGCCAAAGGCAGGCGCCAAACCGCTGCGCCACTCAGGGATCCCTAATTTGGGCCTCTTCATTGCAAAGGATTATGTGACCTGGCAGGTTTATAAAGGACTGTGTCTTGTGGATGTTGAATCTCTGGAGAGGTGAGTTCAAGTACTCCATGCAGAGGTGGGACATTCTAGGAGAAGAATGGGCAGCATGCCATCCTCAGGTGTGGCGGGGATGACACTTGTCCATCAGAGACTTGTGTGCCCTGCCCCTCTTGGGTCAGAGGTATGTTGCTGGGGTGGGGCAGGGCGGGGGAGGTGTCAGCCCAGCCGGGGCTACATTTGCCAGGCCCTTTGCATTGAAGTGGAGCTGTGTGACTGGTTCTTGCCTGTGGTCTGGGAGGGAAAGTGGTGTGGACCATTTTCCTGTGGAGGTGGTTAGGGAGCAGGTGTGCTGACTTCTTTGTTCTCTCTTTCTGCATCTGTTGGCTGATGTGAGTGACCCAGCAAAAGACTGAGAGGCCGCAGAGGACAGCAGAGCCACAAAGTAGAAGGAGCCTCAGGCCTCTAAAGGCCACCTCTAGCTAGAACAATGCATCACACTGGTGTGTGATGAGAAATTAAACTATGCTATAGTGGTGAGTGTTACCCTCATTCAGATGTCAGGTTTCCAAAAGGATATTCTTAAAACCAACCCATGCTGGGACCCAAATCCTGAACACTGAAATACCCTGCGAGATTGGATTAGCATTTCTGGCCTGCATGAGATACACTCTCTGGATCTACGAGGAATAGTAAGCTTAAGTGTGGCCACAAAACCCAGGCATTTCAACACTGGGGCCCAGGAGCCCCCCACTGTCTCACGGGTCTCAGCAGGAAAACTGCCCAGTGGGAAACATGAATGCATTATACATGTGTGCTGTGCTAGAGGCCTTGGGACTTGGTGGTTCAGCTGCCTCAAATGGGCACACAGCAACTCGAGCTGATGGAGAAGGAACTGAACCGGGAGAAACCTCCCAACAGCCCGCCTGGGACCCACAGACCAACCAGACACCACTTAAAACAGTTACTTGTCTCGTCCAGCCTGTCCATGCTCTTCCAGCTGGGCAAGGCTGCCTCCTCCCTTGGTGGCTGGCCCTGGCCCTTCGGTGGCCTCGATGCGGCTTCCAGTGAAGGGGTCTTCAGAGCATCCTCTTTGGGGAGTGAGAACGAAGACTGGGACCTCTGTGAGGAGAAAAGAGGGTTAGAGGGGGGACTGAGGAGCACAGTCACAAGGAAGGATGCCTTCTGCTTTCTGGTAGATGACACTTCTGGTGGAGAAGGCATGTTTGATAGTGTTGGCCCTTCCCGTGCTGAGACTTAAAAAGCTGCAAATTAGTGCATAACAGCCTGTTGTCCTATAGATCCTTTTATCCAGCCATCCTCCTAGCAACATTTCTTAGGCCAATTGTGCTGAAAAAGGAGAGCATCTTCTCCCTGAAGACCTCCAAACGTGAGTTTGGGCAGCCCAAACTGAAAGGTACAACACAATGTCAATGCTACAACAGATTAGTGAGCCAAGTCTGGCCCATGCACAAACCTACAACCATTGCAACATATTCCCATTTACTGTCTGAATCAAAGAAGGGAAAAGAAACTGTTACCTAAGAAGTGGCAGTGAGATTTCAAATGACAGGCAGGAATTATGTTTGAATCATATCACACGTATATGTCACTACATACACGCAAACATATATATGTTACAAGTGGTACAAATAATTTGAAGCTCAACGTTAAAGACAACAAATGGGAAAGAGGCCGATGATTTAATTCCCTGGGAGATGTAGAAACTTAGGCTTGCCCTGCACACAGTAAATGCATAACAAGTGGGAGCTTTACAAAGAAATTTGAGAATGCCAATGAAAAAGAGCAACAACAGCGCCAGGATGTTTGGGGGACAAAATGGAGCTTCATGGCTGGAATTTGGGGAGCAGACATGTACCCAGTAGCCTCTCCTGAAGGATGGCTGACCAGGCTGAGAAAAAGCACAGAGATAGCTGAGGGTCAAGGAGGTCCAGTATCCCTACCATTTCAGGCCAGACCAGTACCCAGGAGCCCTCAAATATAAGCCATACGGTATACTTTTTTTTGGAGAGGGTGGTATAAGCCAGTTTTGGTTCTGACAGAGTTATAGCAAACCGCTTCTGCTTCCTAGGAGGAAGATGGGTTTGCAGAATATGGAACCTCTAAGATGTGTACTCAGGGTCACAACATGCCTCTCACACCCTTGCAAATAGGGAAGAGAGATGATGGGCCTCCAGACCTGCCTTTCTGTATTTACAGGTTAACATGGTCCAGGGGACAAATGAGTTCTCTCCATCTTACCAATTCCCTAAGATCCTGTGTGCTTCCAGTTTGAATAGGCTCATAGGAAATGCCTTACCCCAAGCTGGGCGGGGGGAGGATGGGGGGTGGGGGGAGTGGCGGGTCCTGGGCTTCCTCTCTGCTAACTTGTACCCTACTGCACTCTATTGCAAGCATCTGGTTTTTGCCTGGTATCCCCATAAGACTGCTTGCAACTGAGGTTAGTTAATGGCCTGTTAATGGTGGCACAGTAACTGGTATAGATGTGGAAATTAGTGCATGTTTGCTGTGGGGTGAATGTGATTTGGGGTGGGCTACAGGATAGGTTTTCAGAAGTACCTGATATTTTTCCTCCACTAATGTCTTGGATAAAACTGAGGAGCAAGTGAAAGAAATGAGAAGAAGCTCACTATCATCCTCACTTACACCATGGAGGGCAAGGTCTAACTTGTAGGACAGCCAAGCTAATGCATGCACATCATATGGCTTTGAGCCGACTGCCACTCCCTTTATGTCAAGGGCACAGAAAGTATTGTCCTGAAAACCAAAGTTTTCATGGGGATGGATGGGTATTCAGGGAGTCATCTATGAGTTTGTTAGATCCTTAACAGATGATAAGCAGCTGCCAGAGGGCAGAGATCAAGTCTGGTCAAGTGGAATTACTAAAAAATGAAGGAAAAAAAATCCTTCTATGGCAAACCCCTGTGTACTCAGGGAACACACCCCTGACACTCATCCTACTGTGGTCTGGCAAGAAGACTCCCCTTCTATGTGATCCCACAGATAATTCCATGTACTCTGTTACAATCATACTACAACTTGTCAATTCTTCCAAAGACTGTGAGCTCTTTGAAGGCTGGAATGGTCTTCTGGGTGTGATCTTTGGTTGCATGTTTGTGACTGAATTTACAGGACTTTAGACAGAGGTCTGGCCCTTGGGGAGCTGAAAAATCTATTGTCAGGTGCAATAGGTCACTTTTCATGCCCTGACTTTTCTTTTTCTTTAATATCTGCAAGCTTCTCACTATAAATCACTGAATATGTGTTTACAAAAGGGGAAAATGATATTTAATGTTTCATTTTACAGTGGTTCACATAGTATTTTGCATTCATCTGTATGTGTCTTTAAGAGGTGGCTTGGGTCCACTTTTATGGGATAAAAAAGCTCCTCATCTACAAAAGCCAACACTAAGAAATGAAAAGTTCCTCTGGTTGCAACAGGGAAGATGGAATCTGTGTTCTTCATGAAAGAGTTGGGGACACCAGACTTTTATCATCTATTTCAGGCAAGCCATTGTTTCACACTAGATGAAAATGACAACCACAAAATACCGCAAGGTCTGGCTTCCCTAGGTCTCAGACACTGCTGGCTCAGTCTCCAGCCAGGATGGAAAAGCCCCAGTTCTGAGACCCAGATTCAGTTTTGCCAAAAATAAATTGCAATAAATATATTGTCCAGCAGATGGCGCTATGATAATGCTTTCGCTCACCACTTAGTTCTCTGGTTCTCAGTAAGTGATGGGATTATTTGAGTCCTTTATTTGCTCATTACCCTGGCTGGGTCTTTGTGCCTACTCTTTCTTTCTTTTTGAAAGTCTGTATTTATTTATTCATTTATCTATCTATCTATCTATTTATTTATTTACTTATTTAAGAGAGAGAGAGAGCGCGCACGCAAGCGAGAAAAAAATTTCAGAGTGGGTGGGCTGGTGTCAGGGAGAGGCAGGCAGCCCAATATGGAACTTGATCCCAGGACTCTGAGATCATGACCTGAGCCAAAGGCAGACACAACCAACTGAGCCAGCCAGGTGCCCCGTGTCTATTCTTTCATTCTTCCCTACGACCTCTGCTTTTCTTCCCTTCCTCTTACCCACCCTAGTATCCATGGAAGAAGCAGGGCTGGTGATGTCAGGAAGGGCTGGCCTGAGTTAGTGTCTGCACATCTATACAAGGAGGGCTGGGAATGGTTGGTGGAATCCATGGTCCAGGAATATTAGTGTGCCAGCAAAGTCTTGCAAAGGTGAACTTGAGAGTCTGAGCTTTGAAGCAGGCCTGCCTCAACTCTTCCAGCACTAACTAATGGGTGGTGTGTTAGGCAGTGAGTCGGTCAATGCCAGCTCTTCCTGCTGCGCTATGGGATCTTGGTGGGGACAGGGGGCTTCAACTGTTCTATGCCTCAGTTTCCTCATATAAAAGGATCAGTGTCATGCCTGGTATACATAAAAAGCACTCAATGAGTATTAATCAGTATAAGAGTATTTACTACACTCTACTGCTGAGCCAGGGCAACATATGCATTCTCTCGCTTGGTCTGATAGAATGCATGTGAGGAAACTGAGGCAGGGGTTGGATAACTGGCCCAAGCACATGGCTGGTCAGGGGCCAGAGGCAGGGTCTGAGCTTGGGTCTGCCTGGCCAATTCCATGCCTTCTCCATGCTGTGCTAAGCCTGTGCTGTGAGCCTGGGAACAATGCCCTCCTGGCTAACGTGCTCCAGCCCAGCAGGACTTGCCATTGGAACCATCTGGCTCTGACGCTCTGGGTGAAACATGCAGCATGATTACGAGTTACCTCTATAAGACCTTCCTTTGCAGTTGCTGGTTACCTCGTGTGGGCAGCAGCATGACATGCTCCCTACGTCCCTTGGAATGGTCCACTGTCGCAATGATGGCTAGGACTATCAACACTGCCAACACAGCAGGCTCCTTGAGGCACTGCCCATGGCTTCAAAATGTTCTCTGCTTGCAAGGAGGCCACACCATAAAACAGGGAGAGAATGGGGGCACCTGGGTGGCTCAGTGGTTGAACATTTGCCTTCGGCTCAGAGTGTGATCCTGGGGTCCTGGGATTGAGTCCCACATCGGGCTCCCTGCACGGAGTCTGCTTCTCCCTCTGCCTGTGTCTCTGCCTCTTTCCCTGTGTCTCTGGTGAATGAATAAATAAAATATTTTTTAAAAAAGGGAGAGAGAATGAATGACAACTGAGACAAAGCTTTGCTTTGTATTTTTAAGGTCAGGCATCGATACCGAATTCAATCCAGTGATTATAAATAATAAACAATACATTAGGTCTGTACTGTAACCACTCAAAGGAGAGGCAAATATGAGGAAGGAAGGGATGGAAACACAAGACAAAAGGCTGGGAAAAATAGAGAGGGATAGAGAGATGTCTCTTGGTCACTGGGCACATGGTAAGAACCCTGCTCCTGCTGTCATCATGGTTATTATCAGTAGGATCACCAAGTTATTATGAACACAACTTTGAATATAATATACGTGTGCAAAGAGACTGGCATTAAATTAATTACAAGCCCTGAACTACGGGCTTTTAGGATATTGCATCCGAAGGCTTTGAAAGCTGGATGGCATTGACCTCCCTACTGACAGAGAACCACACAATAAGGGAGGAAATTAAAAAGAGAATGATCATATTCAAGTTTCTTTCAAGAGAACAGACCAGAACTCCTGGCTGCATGGGGATGGATTCAGTTTGGGTCTTGCAGATAAGCACAAGTAGCGGGGCCTGCAGTGTTCTGGGATTCTGCAGTTATTCTCTGAGCCAGAGGGGTCTGGGTCATTGGAGAACTGATGAAAAGAGGGAGGCACTGCCTGGAGGCCAGGTTAGGGCCCTCCACAGTCTGGAGGTCAGGAAGCCTCCCTCAAGGCAGAAAGAGGCTACCTAAGCCTGCAGCCCTTTGGTCTCACCAGGGCAGATGTGGGTCAAGGACACAGATGCCCGGGCTCATCTCCAGAGCCTGTGAGTCAGCCCTGGAGTGGGGCTCTGGCAGTGATGCAGATGAATAACCAGGGGGAGAGCAGCTGGTCAAAAGATGGGGGGGGGGCACCTTCTGTGAGCTCTCCAAGAACCAAGAGTTGGCCTGCCGCTTCACGTCCAGGCTCTGGCCAGTGATGAGGCACATTTCTGCATTTATACCCTCTGTTTATCACTTTCTCCTTATCTCAATCCTAGACCAATGCTGTGCAATAAAACTTTCTGGGGTGATGGCAATGTTCTGGAGTGTCTACTATAGTAGCCTCCAGCCAGGGGTGCTCCTGAGCACTTGAAATGTGGGCCAGTGTGTCAGAAGAACTGGATTTTAAACCTTATTTCATTTTAATTAATTTCAGTTTGAAAAATTTTTTTGATTTATATCTTTGCCATTTATTTTTAAAATCTTATTCAAAATATTAAATAATACATTCAGATATGAAAAATCACTGCAATAAAACAGTTCAGCTGTATTTCCATTGTGCTCCCTTCCTTATTAGGACAGTAAATTGTCCACCTGAGAGAAATGGTGGATTGCCCTACTTCTTCCATCTTTACACAAAGCACATGCTCACTGGTTCACCCAGGCTTTCTGGTGTTTAACATATATTAGGGGTTATGTTTTCTAAAAAATTGCAGTGACATTTTTAAGTCAACCTTGGTTCAAATCACATATTTACAAACTGATCAACTCTTTATTATATAAAGACAGGCTAAGATGAAATACATTAAATAATTTCCAGTTGCTGTGAAAAACAAAACAGAAGAAAATAAAACAAGTACTTCTGTCTTGTGGCCACTGTTGTAGAGAATGCAGCCCTAGGCCTGAGAGACAGTGGAGTCTGATGATCTCATTTTATAGACGAAGAAGGTAGATCAAGGGCTTTGGAAGAGAAGAAAGGTATTCAACTCCTAGCTCCACCAATCACAAAATGTGAGGCCTTAGGTAACTTATGGTAGAGCTTTAGTCTCCGTTTTCTCACCTATAAAATGGGTTTGGTAATACCCACACCTGCACCTTATGGTGAGGGGTAGAAGAAACATGAGATGGGTAAACGTACTTGTTCCTGCCCCTTCCCCATATGGCCTCATTGGCAACTAGAACCGCAATCGTCATGCGGCATGACCCAGGGGGCACCACTTGCACTGGACTCTCCAGGTGAATAGTTGTGCAATATGGTGGCCTTGGCCAGGGTCAGTCCCCCTTAGGCCCTAACTTGGGGATGTGATGCTAGCACAGTCTTTTACCACAGGGGATGGGGGCCAAGTGCAGGCCAGGGTGGGGAGAAAGCACTGGCTTTGCCCTTGAGGGTGAACAGTGTGCCTAGTGACCCTGCATGGAGCACTGGAAAGGCTATCCTTGTCTCCAGATGTGCCACCCCTTGAGGCCCCGGGCTGGCCCGGCCATGGTGCTGGTCAGAGGGAAAGGTCTTGGGTTCCTGACCAAGAGAAGTGAGGCTCGGGTCTGTCCAGGTGTCAAGACCCAGGTGTGGCATCAAACCGAAGTCTGGAGACAAGAGAGGAAGGCAGCAGGCCAGAGATAAGGAGGAAGGGAGGAAGGGATGAGACATGCTGGGAAGTGGTGGTATGGGGGCATAAGGAGGGGTCCAGTCCTTTCCTGCAGGCCCTCGCAGGGGACTGGGCTGGCCAGCTTATCCTGTTAGCCTGTGAATGTGGTTGGAGCCAAATGCAACAGCACTTATTCAGAGGAGGTGTGCGAGCTTCTTTGTCCCTGGAAGAGCTAGAACTTGGTATGAGCCTTTCTACACAGCTAACTAATCAAGAATCGATGGATTCTTATCATTGAGTGCTGGGTGAGGTGCAGTCTCTCCTTCCAGATAATATTTTTTAAAAGCTCTAATCACACTGCTGTCTTTAAACCAAACCACCAGCTACAAATGGTCACTCATAAGGGTGTGGATGCTGGTGTTTTGCTGAGACCTTAATCCATATATTTTCCTTCCATCACAGGTATCCTGGAAGCTGGAGGGGAAGGGTTCAAGTCTAGGCCACGACTAAATCCCCATAAATCAACATTCTGCCATCAGTGGCCATGGCCCTACACTGAGAAACAGCTACCATGTGCCCAATGCTGAGCTGGCCCGGTGCCAGAACATGTGACCATTGACCATTGAACATGTGGCTAATAGGGGGCTAATGATATTGGCTGCTCAAAAGGGCAAACTGTGCCAGGGACCCAGCTGGATACTGGATTCTCTTCACGCCTAGATTCAGGCTGCTTTGTTCGGGGCAGCTCTCATGAGTACAAGGGTGAGTGGAGAAAAGACAAAGCATTCACATCTCCCTAACTGATATTGTTGACAAAAATATGCTGTTTACATGTTGCAAATCACAGAGTTGGGAGAACTCACAGGGAGAGGCCGGGGGGACTTCTTTGATCAAATATCAAAGTTAAGGATGATTAATAGGAGCCAGCGGAAGTCTTGTCCCCTCTATAAGGTACCAGGTCCTACGATCTGGGTGGTTACAGCGTTATCTGTATCAATGTCCTTTATGGGCTTTTCTCAAACTACAGCCTCAAGGATGTCTCCCACCCCCTCCCACGCAGGTGGATTCAAGCCCAGGGAAGGTGGCCATAGCTTGCAAAGCACTGAATACCAGAAATTCAAAAGATGCCTAGAGTGAGAGAGGGACTTCCATTAGGCCTTATCCTATATCAAAATCTAGGAAAAAAAATCATATTCTGTCATTTGCTTTAGGATAAATAAGTTAAGAAATGCATCAGCTCTGTCTACATTGACGTTGAAGCCAAAGTGACAATTGTGGTGTGCAGGAGGCGGGCATTTGGCAAAACAAATTTCCTGGCAAGGAAAGGAAACTCCTGGAGGATTTGTTTTAGCGAACCAAACAGGAATCCCATGAGACTCTGACCTGTGCCCAAGGCCCTGCATCCCAGGTGGACTAGAGTTTCTCCAGCCAGCTGAGGGGCTCAGTGGGAGGTCCCCCTGCAAAGCATCACTGCTATTTTAAGCTGCTTTTGGCCAGTGTTTGACTAGGGGGTGTGCATGAAGCACTTTCCTGTCCTGCTGGTGGAAAGAGGGGCAAGGGGCGTTGCTGCCGTAACTGCTGCTGTGCCCACTGTTCTGACTCATTCTAGAGACCACTGTCCCACATCTCTGGTGACACTCAGTGTGTTGCCAGCCTCCCTGAGGTGGCAGGAATACCATTTCTAGGTTGAACCATAAGCATAGTAAGGAGTCCCCCTGAACATCTGGTGGGAAAACAGGCATTTCATATCCTAGGAGCCTCCCAGTGAAATAGGACACAGGAGCAGAGCATAGGAAATGCTCAGAGTCAGGAGCCCTGGGCTCTGGTCCTGCCCCACCCCTCAACTTAGTTCCAGTGACTCAGGCTAGGTAGGCCTCAGTTTACTGCTCTGTAAAATGGGGATAATGCTGGATGCGCTTATGTGGATCTAATGAAATAATATGTGCAAACACCCTGTGCACAGAAGGTCTACATAGAAGAGAAGTATTGGTCATTTGCTGAGCCTGGGGGGATTTGCAAGGCGACGCCACGCATGCAGCCTGAGCTCACAGCAGCAGGAATGAGTCAGTGAATTCTCTGAATGACAGGCTATTTGAACGGCATGTGCCTCTCCTTTCCCTGAACCCCAAGTCCGTTTCCAGCCTCAACCTTTCCGCAGAGTGCCCACAATGTGGGCTGACTTGTATCTTGGCCTGCTTTGCTCACCAGATTATACAGTCCCCCAGGGCAGGGATCGAGGCTCCTATTGACTTTGTTCTCCTGGGTGTTAAGTGCACAACAGCAGCAATAAAATAAGCTGATGGCATGCTGACAAAGGAAGGTTCTGCCAATAAATCAATGAAGTTAAATCTCTGATAAAGTCATAAAGATGCTCCTTGTTACCCCCCGGCATCTGGCAGCTGGTAAGGGCACGGGGAGGACTGACGCAGGTGAGACTTCTGTGCATGCTTTTGTACCTGCACAGTGGGGGTGCACACCCGTTTTGCAATCTGCTCAGGTAGGGGATGAATGAATGTCACTGACCCAAGGAGGAGTAGCGTAAACACCTATTTCTCACTCTGCCCCACTTCAGGTGTCCTTACCCTGTGGGGCGGGCACATGAGCCAACTGCAGATGGTGAGTGTGGTGGCCCCACGTCTATGGGGAGAAGGCCTCCAACCTGCGCTTGTGCGGGACACCTGTGTGGTGGGGGTGGTGGCACTGCTCAGGGACTCACCCAGAGGGTGGAGGGAGCTTGGGGGCCTCCTGGGGGCGCCATGATCCCCTCGTCAGCGGCCTCCGCGCTGCTGCTCTGGGGCTGCGACCACTCTGGCTCTTCTTCCATTGGCTGCTCGCCTTTGCTCTTCTGTTTCCTTATGATCTGGGGAGGAGGCAGGTGACAAAAGAGGGTAGATTATTGGCAAGGCCTTGGGGGGCCATGTGGACTAACAGGGACCATCTCTGGGATTATTTTTTAGCCACATAAGAGTTTAGTTTCAACAAAATACCAGCCTGTTTGGATCTGCTTTAGGGTAAAACAGTACAACTATAGCCCTAGGCATTCTATAGCACTTCACATTTTATAAATAATCATTTTATGATGCTAACAACCTCCATTCATTAAATGTCTACCATTGACAGCGTTGCAGGTGCTGTATATGCTCTACCTCATTTAATCCTCAAAATAATCCTAAGAGCTCTGGGCGATGGCGATGACTCTCCTCATTTTATAGTCAAACTGGCTCAGAGAGGTTGAGTTATCAGTTAAGGCCACACAGCTCATGAATGCTGGAGCTACAGCTCATGAATGCTGGAGCTGCATCTCAAACCCGCAGTCTCTGGCTGTAAATCCTGGTTTTAGGAAGCCTTGGCAGGGTCTGTGAAGGGGGTGGGTACCGAGCCATCGGGGAAGGCTTCAGCTTATTTGTACCACTTGCTATGTTGGGCACAGCCATTTGGATAGAATGAATCTATTCGTTGCACAGCAGTGTCTGGGCTCCCAGCTTCCTCCTATAGGCAGGAAGCAGCTGAGAAAACTGATGAGCCACCAGTCCAGGTGTATTCTTCAAAGTCTTTGTAGCCCAGACAGGATGATAGAGTGGGAGGCTGAGAGCAGGGAGAGCTATGAATTGAGGTGCCATGCCCTGGGGCAGATGGGGGCCTGATCAAGGTGTACCCCCAGCTCCATGGTCGGGCCCTGGCCACAGGCGCCCAGTGGGCTCTGGGATGCTGGGGACTAGTCACATCCTGTGCAACTGGCTGCACAGTGGGCAGGGCAGTGCTGCTTTCCTGTCGGGGCCCCAACAGTGTATGCTGGCCGTGTGTGGACAGATGGCTTGTTTGCTGGGTTCTTAGGTCTCTAGCTTAAAAGCAGCTGAATCTGGACTGCATATACTTTGAACCGTGGGTTGGATGAGGCACATGGGGATCTCTGGGGGATAAGTGGGGATCTTCCGTATGTGGCATATGGACAGGACATGGAGTTTGTGACCAAAAGGGAAAACTAAAATCCCTGCATGCCGTCCCTTTGTTGCGTGACTCTGTATCCATCCCAGGATTGGTACAGCACACTTCCCACCATGGCAATGGGCTGATGGGGTGCCTTGCTTTGCTTTGGTTGAGGACAATGACCTTTGAGGGGGGAGTGGATAACCATGGGGGTCAGGGCTGAGCACAGGCCTCAGTCCACATCTCTACTTCCTCTTGTTCACCTAGGCTTCTGTCCAGGCCCTGAGTAGCTACTGTGCCTTCAGCTGGGCCCCAACATGAACACACTGCATGGTTGCATATCCCCACCCACAGCTGGAGCTGGGGTCACTGCAGATGCACGAGCCACAAAGAAATTGAGGTATAGTAAAACATATATTTGGTTTTTGCCCCTGGTTCCTGGCACTGAGATTAAAAACCTTTGGAGTGATTTTGCTATGCTAATGAGGCAACTCAAAGCTGGGAACTTTCAGCTCCACCCACAACCTCTGGGGAGGAGGAGGGACCATGTGCACCTGGCTGGTGCAGGGAAGGCTGTGGTCTGCACACTCCCTCCCCAGGCCTTGTTACCTTGTGTATCTCTTCATGTGGCTGTTCATTTGTATCCTTTATGATAAACCAGTCATTGGAAGTATAGCACTTGCTGAGTTTTGTGCGTTGTTCTAGCAAATCATCCAACCTGAGGGTTGTCATGGGAATCCCTGGATTTGTAGTAGGCTGGGCAGAAGCGTGGTGACCTGGGGATACCTGACACTTGTCACTGGTATCTGAAGTAGGGGCAGTCTAGCGGGGACTGAGCCCTAAAGTTGTGAGGTCTGTGCTAACTCAGAGTGGAACTGAATTGAACTGAAGTGAAGTGAAATGAATTGTAGGACACCCAGGTGGTGTCAGAGAATTGCCTGGAACACAGAACTAATCCTTGTTTGGAGCCATAGAGTCTGGGGGTGGCTGGCTTCTCAATAATAATAAACAGATACACCATGTCAGGGACAGCTTAGGGCATATGGGTAGCAGGGGGTGACTGCAAATTCAGCAAGAGACGATTTGAGAGGTGTGAGAAGAGGACACACATATATGCACACACACACACATGCAGGACACCCAGGAAACAGGAAGACAGTGAGTCGCCTGCTCAGTGCTGAGTTCCTGGCTTCTTACCCATTAGCTCAATCCCTACAGGCAACCACATTCCATACCTTTGTTTACATTTTGCAGCACCATGCAATCCCTCTGCATTGGCCACCAGAGCACAAAAGGGAAAAGTGACAAGGCACAGAAATGGTGCCCAAGATACAGTGGGGCCCACATGATCGGGGCCAGGCTGGCCGACTCATTGCGGGATGCCATGGTCCACCTACCTTCTGCAGGATAGTGGTGGCCAGTTCCTCGGTCAGCTCCTCCTTGTGGTCCCGAAGGTAACTGGCCTCGTTCTGCTTGTCCTGTGAAGGAGGGAAGAGAATGGCCGCATGCTGTGGGTGGGAGTCCTGGCCGCAGATGCAGAGGGAGGGTGGACCCTGCTCTAGTCAAGGACTGCCACCATGAGGCTGGCTTCCCGACAATCTGTACTTCTTCTGGTGGCCAGGACCTTGCCCCTTGCCTCCCCCATCCCTTGTGAGAAGAGGGTCCTACCAGACTGTCCCCATAGGCTTCTGCCTTGGAAATTGCTTCCTCAATGGCCTCTTCAGCCACCCGCAGGGCAACAGCCAATGTATCCATCATGCTGTGTCCTAGACAGGAAACAGAACACAACCACTTTCTGAAAGGGAAAGACAAATAAAATGACTGTTCCACTTTAGTTCTTCTGTTTAAGTCTTACAGAGGCTGGGGGCTAAGCTCCCCTCTGCTCAGCATGGTGCACAGGCACCGGCTTGTCCCCTGCCTCACTGTCTACCATCACCCCCAAACCCCAGACACAGCAAATTGTCTCTGATTCTTTGAGAGCTACTGTCTCTCCCTTCCTGACTCCCGGATCTTGGCCTTCTTTCCTCTGGATCCCCGCTCTGTACCTGGGCTGGCTCCTGGGGACCCCAAGGCTTGGCCCGAGGGTTCCTTCTCTGGAAATCCTCCTCCTTTGCTCCCTCCTGTCCCACCATGGCTGGATGTCCACCCGAGGCTCTGGGGTCGCTTCCCGTGGAGTCAAAGAGACTGCCTCCCATCCAGGTCATTCTCAGAGAGCACGACTGGATCACATGCAGTCCCTGCTGCACCCTGACACTAAGCACAGCTCCCAACACACAGATGGCTTAGAGGTACGTGCACAGGAGGACTTCATATAAAGAAATAGCAGTTCCTCATCTGCTTTCTCAGATGAAGATTATGTTTTATTTTGTGCATATCATATGCCACTGTGAAGATAAGGATGGATGAAAATTATTCAATGTTCTAAGGGCACTGGACTGTACACATGTGATATAAATCCAAAACCCATGGGAGCATTTTTTAAAATAAGAATTTTATTTATTCATTGATGAGAGACACACAGAGAGAGGCAGAGACACAGGCAGAGGGAGAGGCAGACTACCTGCGGGGAGCCCAATGTGGGACTCGATCCTGGCACCTGGGGACCATACCCTGAGCCGAAGGCAGATACTCAACCGCTGAGCCACCCAGGTCCCCCATGGGAGCATTTTTTAGACTCTCAGCCAATACTATCAATAACAACAACAGTGGCCAACCTCACTGAGCTTAACTACCTGCTGGCCCCAGGCTGAGAGTCATGTGTGTGGCCACAGTTAAAGCAGACAACCATCCACTGAGTGGGTGTCATCTGACAGACAAGACAACCGAAGCCCAGAGAGGTCAAATAACTTGGCTGAGGTAACTCAGTGTGACAGGAAGAGAGATGAAATTTGAGTCCAGGACTCTGTCTGCAAAAGCCTTTGATTTTAACCACAACAGTGAGACAAGTACAAGCTCATGTGATTTAAAAATAAAAATGCTATCGTTATTTTTAGCAAGCACATTTTTTTTTTTTTTGCAAATGGCAACAGGTGGAAGGAATGTTCCCCCACTCCCCCCACCCCCCATGTCGAAGGACTTCTGCAGGTGACAAAATTCTTTGTGGAGCTGAGTGCTTGGAAGAGTTTTGCTTCCCTAGAAACTCAATTTTTGCTTCTTACCCGAAAGTGAGAATTTTGATCATCCCTCTTTTTTCTCCCCAGAAGCCCAATTCACATTAGGCCCAGGAGCACAGATCCCCAAGGGTTGTGTGCCTCTGTCTCCTCTGCCCAGATTTCAACTTCCTGTTTCCATTTATACTCTCCTCATGCATTATTTAACACACATAAACCTCCTGAAAGCTGCTTCAAATTCTCCATAGAGTGAGACTAGATATAAATACATCAGTTCATTCGCTAATCAATCCCTCGATTAAAAAAACTTAACTCAAATTTCTTAGGCTCCTCAAGACACAAATGTGGACAGAAAGCATCTGGCAAACATAATAAAAATCTCCAAAACCAATCTAGTTAGGCTCTGAGTGATCCAGCAAGCTGATGGGTCCATCACAAGCTGGCTACAATGACAGACACGACAGAGCCAGGTCCGGATGACCCAGGTCAGGGCTCCATGCACCTCAGAGTGGCCGACCAAACACGCAGTTTCCCCAGTGTTTCTATAGGTACACTCTACAAAATTGAGGTTGTCATCACACCAAGTGCTCCCTGGAGATAGACACTGTAACTATCTCCCATATCTCTTCTTCAAGATACCAACCAAATATCTTTCTCAGAAGTTCTCACTAGCCCTGTGAGGGCCCCCAGTGACACCCTAATGGATAAGCCACGTCCATGCTCTCAGGTGCTTTCCCGGCTACTGGGTGAGCAGGCTAAGAGGTGTGCAGGAGGGCCTGTGGTGGGGATCATTACCCAGTTCCACAGATCCCTGGCCTGTAAGAGCCCGGAGACATAACCTAAAGGCTCTGGATGCTACATTCATAACTTCTGATGAGGATGAAGTAGAGCACTGAAGAATGTTTTGGCTGGAAGTGAAGGCTTAAGTCAGTGCTACAGAGGAAGAGACTGGCAGGGGTGTAGAGGAAGAAGAAGAAAGCAGAGCTAGAGTGACCGAGCTTGGAAGAGCAGTAGACAAAGGGATGGTCAGTTTTATGCATCATCTTGGCTGGGCTATCATATCCAGTGATTTCATCACTTATCTAAGTGTTGTTATGAAGGTATTTTGTGGATGTGGTTAACGTCTATGATAGCTGACTTCAAGTAAAGGAGATTGATGTTTAGGTGATGTGGGCGAGCATCATCCAAGAAGTTAAGAGCAAAAGCCTTACGAGCAAATATTGAGGTTTCCAAGAGAAGAAAACCTGTCTCAAGACTGAAGTATTGACTTCTGCCTGAGTTTCCTGCCTGCTGACTTATCCTATAGCCTTTGGGCTTGCTAGGCCCTACAATTGTGTGAGCCAAGTCCATCACATAAATAAATCTTTGTGTGTCTGTGCGCACACGTGTGTGTGTGTGTGTGTGTTTTATTTATTTATTTATTTATTTATTTATTTTATTTATTTTTGTGTGTGTGTGTGTGTGTGTTAAATTGGTTCTACTTCGCTGGAGAACCCTGGTGGATACAGATAGTCACTGAAGGTAATGTTAATACAGGGAAATTGTGGGCAGGAGGTGCTCAGGCCATGAGGGTCAGAACAGAAAGAGAAGGACAGAATTGGAGAAAGAGCTGATACGAACTTGGGTGACTGGGTAGAGGTTGCAGGGAGGGTCTGTGGGAAACGGAATGCTTGCTGGTGGACTTAGGTGGCTGAGGAACTTAATCAGGATGTGCTGAGGTTCAGATCCCTGTAGGATCCTCCAGGGCTTGATGATCAAGCTTTAGAAATCTGAGTCTAGAACTCTGGGCTGACATCCGTGCTGGGCATTTCAGCTTCAGCAGTGAATGTCTGCATGGAGGCCATGACTCCCATGTAGCACACCTGTGTAGAGAATTTGTAGGCTACAAGGATGAAGGAGGATGGGACCTTCATGGGAAGGCACCCAAAGGAGAGAACAGAGAGCATGCAGAGGAGCTGCAGGGTCCCAGGAGCAGGTGACTCAGGAGGCTCGCAAGGTCCAGCACTCTGGAGAAGGAGCTGAAATGGTGAAGAAGGTTTTATTTGAAACTAGAAGTTTGTTTTGCTTTTAACTTCTACTTTAAGAGGACTTTTATATTGGTATAAAGAAGTAGAAGTGAATCAGTACATGATACATTATTTATAAGAATATTTTAATATGAGGGATCCCTGGGTGGCGCAGCGGTTTGGCGCCTGCCTTTGGCCCAGGGCGCGGTCCTGGAGACCCGGGATCGGATCCCACGTCGGGCTTCCGGTGCATGGAGCCTGCTTCTCCCTCTGCCTGTGTCTCTGCCTCTCTCTCTCTCTGTGACTATCATAACTAAATAAAAAAATTTAAAAAAAGAATATTTTAATATGAACTACCCAAGTGTGGTCATTATTATAGTCCAGCTCCGGAAGATGGAGTCAGCACTCAAACTCAACAGGTGATGGATGTAAAGTACCCAGGGGTTGGGCAGCGAATGCACTGCTCTGGCCACACCTTGGATATACTCACCAATTGTGATGATGAATTCACACAAGTGGATGACAGGAAGACTCAGGGAGGCTCCCATTCAGTAACAAGTAGGTGTGTCCCACAGTTACAATCCAGCTGGGAGACCCTGAGTGTCTGAAGGTGTTTCTATTCCTCCAACTTTCCATTAGCAGCAAACTCTTAAGCAAACTTACCTTCTGACTGTCTATAAAATGTTGAATCACTGCCCGAAATACTTCCTTCATTCTCCAGGTTTGCTTCGAAAAAGTTTCCTCCTAGAGGGAGGGAGGGTGTGGGAGAGAGAATGGGATTATCACATGTCCCCAGTGAGCACTGAGGTGCAGGTCTCAGCACTGGCAGACCACCACAGCCCACTCTGATTAAGTCAGCTTTGCAGATATTTAGGGAATCACTGAGTTGCATAATAATGCTACGGCTTTTGATCAGTCACCTTTTCCTTCTCACACTGATTTCTGGTATAACATTGCTGCCTGCCCCAACTTTCTTCCAGTACCTTCTTTGGAGGCAATGTGGAATCAATGACAGGACAATAGATCAAAGCCAGAGAGATGTAAGGTCGTTACTTCCTGGACCTGCAAATTACTAGCTGTGTGACATCAAGCATGTTACTTAACCTGACACTAGGCTTCCCTACTAGAAAGAGAGAAAGAACAAGAGCTTGTGACACTGTGGGTTTGGTCTTTAGCTGCAGACTGTGGCACTGACCCAAACAGTTGCCTTTAGCTAATGATCTGACTGTCACCATTCTCTTTCATAGAATGCAGTCCATGTTGTGAGCCCAGAGAGAGACTAGGTCAACACATGGTGTTTGACTTTTTAAGGCCCTCTTTCTCTCCTTTGGTCTTCTTTGAATCGAACACACAACCCTAATCTTAATTCCAGATTGGAAGAGTAGTTGGCTAAGCTCTTTCTAAAGCCCCTTTTCAAGTTGGGGATTTTTATTATATAAAAATGAGTTCATTCATCAAATGAGATATCTGCAGATGGGGATGATGGATTTTGTTTTAAAGTCACTGTATTATGTCCCCAGTACCTAAGATAGCACCTACACAGTAGGTGGCTCAAGAAAAATGAATTGGATGTTGATGGAAAACATCGTTTGATAGAACCAAGAATATAAATATGGGTTTATATGCCTTAGCTCAAAAGGGGGAAAATGCAATGTCATCAATGCAATGTCAAACTAAGCAATAGGCCTTCAATACATATAACACACCCTGTGCTTCCTTGAATGGGCTGTCATGGGGGCTCCCATATGGGAACCCCAGGGGTAACTGATGTAGGTATTTGAGGCAGGTAGATGGCTACCTGTATGAAATAGGCCATTTTTCATGTGTAATAGCTTCATATTTCATGTGTGTAGCCTGTCATGACAGTTCAGTCTGACCATATACCATTCTCTGTGTTTGTATTTTTTTGATCAGGCTTTCAAAAGGCCTGTGGTCCACTTATTCCAGTTCTGTGACCCTGAGTTGAGCAAGTGTCTTTGTCTTTCTGAGTCTTAGTTTCCTCACTTACAATATAAGTCTTTAGGATAAGTCATCTCTGCAGGCCCCAAGCTATAGTTCTTTTTTTTTTTTAGATTTTATTTATTTTCGAGAGAGAGAGAGAGAGAGAGAGAGAGAGAGAGAGAGAGAGAGAAGCAGAGACGCAGGCAGAGGGAGAAGCAGGCTCCATGCAGGGATCCTGACGCGGGACTCGATCTGGGGTCTCCACAATCACGCCCTGGGCTGAAGGTGGCGCTAAACTGCTGAGCCACCCAGGCTGCCCCCCAAGCTATAGTTCTAAGTGCAAATATTTCCCTTTGGTGTGGCTACACCCAGCATTCATTCATCCATCCAGCAAAGAGTCTCTGAGCACCTACTAGGTGCCTGGCTCTGGGCTGTGTGTTAGGGTATATTGGTGACCAAAGTCAGAAATTCTCACTGCCCTGACAAACTTGATATAGTGGAAAGAATTCTCCGATCCAAGATTTATATAAATCAATGTAAAATTATAGAGCTGTTAAGTGCTCTGATTGAGTGCTTCACAGTACAGTGAATGTGTCCAGCAGAGACAATGAGTCACCAGGCAAAGGGGTGTGGGAAGGTGGGAGAGTGTCTGGGGCAGAGCAAACAACTTGCACAGGACAGGCAGTGGGGGCAGCAGGTGCATCTGCGAACCTAAGCAAAAGGCAATGTGGCTGGGCTTGGAGACCCAGAGCATGCAAGTCATGGTGACCATATGTGTTTTGATCTTTATTCCAACAGCTACATAAAAGCCAGTAAAGCTTCCATGGAGGTGATCTGGTCAGATATGTGCTTCCAAAGTGTACTCTGGCTGTTGTGGGGAGAACAGGTCAGTGAGGGGAGGGCAGGAAGTGAGGGAATGTGCAGGCCAGGAATGTCTTAGGAAACAGAGAGATTCGGGCATGTTTACAAATCGAGAGGAAGGAACCAGTTAAAAGACAGGCTGGCTCAGCAAGAAGGAAGAGATGTGAGACCTTCAGACCTTCCTGGAAGGTGACAGGATCCAGTGAGGGGGTGCGTGCTATCTGTCCTGTGAAGGAGGAGGGTGGAGGCAAGCACGAGGAGAGAGAACATCTGGAAACATCCCTGGGGACTGAGCTGCAAGCTCTGGTTCTGCATGATTTCAAATCTTCTAGTACAGCACTTCTCTCTGTTTCCCTTGAAATTCATAGGTGGGAGCTTTAGAGTCATTTGAGAAAGGCACAAAGAGGCTGACACTGTTCTCAAAGCACTGATGCAGCAGTCAGATGACATCGTCATGTCTTTCATGAGTTGGAGGAACCTCTGATTTCACCTGCTCAGCATTTTCAAAAGACCATGTTTTTCAGTCAGATTCCAGATGAAAGATTAATGGACCTTTTCAGGAATCATGTCAAAAATAGATATACAGTGTTCATGAATAGAAGCAGAGTTTATTTCTCCCATTTTATTTATTTAATACAAACTGAAAGAAAGATGTCATTTACCCAACTGCCTAGAGATTAAGTATATTAATAATGACTACTTTTATCTTTTTGTGTAGTGTTTATTTCCTAGGTAACTGTTAAAAATGTCATGCTGAATATATCAGATGTGTCATGCAAGCACTAGTTACCATTGGGTACTTGATTTTTTTAAAAATTTACTGACTTCTCCACTGGAATATTGGCTCTGAGATGGCAGGGTCTTGCCTGTCTTTTCACTCTTAAACCAAGTGGGCACATAGTAGGTGTTCAATAAATGCTTTCTGAATGTTTACTGGAGTAATGAATATATCTTAGATTTATCCAATGGAACTAGTGGGTCTCCTTTACAGCCTGGCCTAGCTTGGTCACCTAATATGGGCTGCAGGATGAGTAAGCCTAGTTTGGGGGGCCAGACAGACTGATGGCAGTTTAGGGTGTGCACGTGATGGCAGACCCATAAGATTCTGTGAACTCAATGAATTTTCAGTGGACTGAGTGTGTTAAGGCATAGTACGTTGGTCCAGAGGGTGAAGATGTTTCATAGGTATAAGGAGTTCTACTCCAAGAGTTCAGGAGCAGAGCACACGCCTTGCATACCATAGATGTTGCATATTATGTTCCTACAATCAAAATTCTGCAAACAAGAACCCTTAGCTAGATTTGAAGATGGAGCCATCTTATTATAAATGCTACTAGACAAATGATGGCCAGGGCTAGCTGGGGTTCTCCATCTTGGCTATGCCTTAAAACCCACTGAGCTTTATTTTTTTTTAATTTTTTTTATTATTTTTATTTTATGATAGTCACAGACTGAGAGAGAGAGAGGCAGAGACACAGGCAGAGTGAGAAGCAGGCTCCATGCACCGGGAGCCCGATATGGGATTCGATCCCGGGTCTCCAGGATCGCGCCCTGGGCCAAAGGCAGGTGCCAAACCGCTGCGCCACCCAGGGATCCCCCCAGTGAGCTTTAAAAAATATCTGTACTGGGCCCCCCTCCACAGATTCAGAAATAAGTGGCTGAGCATGGAAGGTGATCCTAGGCACTGTTTTTTTGTTTTTTTTTCAAGCCCAGACTCTGATGTATAGTTAGGATTGAGGATGGCAGGTGACAACTATGGCAAAAGTGTTGAATGATAGGTGGGAGCTAATGCTAAGGGCTCTTCATCATGTGACATAAGCAAGAGTCCACATGTGCACTGGAGGATTTCCCCATATTTTTGGTTAACTAAATTTTCTAGGTGGTGTGTAGAGTAAATCTCATTTTTTTTTATGATCATGGCTTAACAAGTTTGAGTATCATCTCACAAACTGTTTCTTGTCCACTTGTCTTCACTTTTATCAAAAGGAATTCTTAGTTTAAATGGATACTAACCATATTAAAGCAACCGATTCTAATACTTCAGTGAAGTGTCTTGGTACTCACAGAATGCTTTTAAGATTAAACTGGTGCCATAGTGAGGATGTAAGGCATGCCAGGTGTTGAGTCATACTTTGGGAACACAGAGGTGATGAAACTATTACTCTACATGGTTGGGCAGGAGAGCGGCTTGTATACCATCCCCTGAATGCAATGTGGTAAGTGCCATATTGAGGCCTGGATGAAAGAAGTTGTGAATCACAGAGGATCCAAAACCCAAACATGCTTCTACCATGGCAGACAGCTATTCCCAGTAAATGATGTTCCTCAGAAAATGACACTTGAAAATTTCAAAGCCCTGAGCTGGTCCGCTTGGGACTCACATCTGCCTGACCCATCCATCTGTGGGGCCTGAGGGAGACAGGAGAAGAGATCAGAGTTATGCTTTGTTCTGAAAGATTCTACATATGTTCGCTTTCCCCCTTATCTTGCATTAAGCAGTAACGAACACCCATGAGGTCTGAATTTGGTGACTCATAAGGGGGTACACAAAGCAGATCTGGGGATGTATATGAGAAGAAAGAAAGGATGTGATACAAACAAGTGAGCCAATAATATTTTGGAACTTTCTTGAGATATCTCTTTGGGTTGAAAAACTATTATTAACAGGATTACTTTTAAGCTTGATTTCTTTTTCTTCTTCTTTTTCTTCTTCTTCTTCTTCTTTTTTTTTTTTTTGCCTCCTTTCCTTGAGAAAAAATTTTTTAGAGAAATCAGTGAAGAGAAGATAAAAATAATCTGTGGAAACCTTCAGCATTGCTCTCTAGCTTAGGCTTCCTGAATAGTTTGAAAGATAGAGTCTAACAACCACCACAAAAGGCCCTAATGATTCTCTGTGTTTAATGCTCCCATCCTGTTTCCCCGCTGTCTCACTGGCTGGCATATTTTTAGATAAGACACAGCCAAAGACTTTATTGAGAATACAACAATGTAAAATAATGACAGTGAAAAAGCTCCATATGAGATGGATGAGATCTTTTTTTCTTCTTTCTTGTGAATAAAAAGCATTTACCTGTGTCAGCAAAGTGATGAAAAAAAATCTGCCTTCGACCGAAAAAAAAACCATCCCAGTCTTTTTTTATGGTACATGCTGTTCACGTCCTGACAATGATTTCCTTCTACTGGCTAGTCTAATAGAACCAAAGAAGATAAGTTCTCATTCTAATTACATTGGTTGTCTGGAGTGTATACAAACAGTGAAGGCGGAAATCATCCTCTAGGATTCTTGGGAAGAGAAGCCCACACTTTCCCGACTCTCCCTTTACATCAAGTTGTGGGCCTGGCATGAGTTGAGTGTGGGGGTAGAAGGGAAGGGGAGTGGAGGGTACACCCTCTAAGGGCAGACCTAGTCTATGCGATCACATTGAGGACTTTCTAATATTTTAATCATTAGGCAGGGAGATGGTCAAGAATCTTTGATTTCTAGGGGTCTGCAATTAAAATGTCCACAACACACAGACATATTTTGGTCTTCTTGATGCATCCAACAGCCCAGTGGGGATGTTGGAAGCTGATGACTCAAACTTAACAGAATCTTTGGTATTTGTCCTCCTATTTCTGTTCCTCACTGGAGGCAGATATTTAAGCAACTTTCTCTGTATCATTTGAGGGTTCCTAGTGGTCAAGGCCTCCCAGCCAGGCCTCCTTTTATCCCACCAGCCCAGGGAAGACTCCCATAGTGGCGGGCTGCCAGCGTACCTAGAATATCGAAGCATGCTCCACTCTCCAATCGGTGTTTCCTATACAGGTTCTTCAAGACCTTGGCACTGCCAAAGCGTTTGAAGCGGCTCTTCACGTTGTTGTAGAACCATTCCAGAGACTGGGTCCTCAGAAGTCTGGGGAATATACAAAATTAGAAAACAAAATTAGAAATCAAAACTGGAATTATTAAATGGTGGATGGAAAAAGTTGCCACCATAGTTTGTAGCTCCTTCCATCAAGATGTGGAGCTTCTTTTTCGACTTCTTGAATCCGGGCTGGCATGTGACTTGCTTGGACCACAGAGACCAGTAGGCATGATGCTGTGTGAGTCCTGAGTTTTGCAGCTCTCTCTCGGTGCTCTTGGAAGTCTTGCACCTGTCATGTGTGATCAAGCCCAAGCTGACCTTTGGGGTGCCGAGAGAGTCCAAAGGGGGCCCAATCACCCCTTTCATCTCAGCCAGTGACACCTCAATGCCAGACAGGTGTGCAAGGGAAGAGGTGACAGAGACCAGGTGAGTGACAAGGGCAGTAGCAGCCAGAATGACAGCAGTGAGGACGAAGCCCAAGCCACCTGGACAAAGAGATATTCAGCAAGGGATGTAGATTCAGAACATGACAGTGACTCAGGTGATGAGGATACAGGCCAGTGGGTGGCAGTGACAACGATTCAGAGAGTGGCTGTGATGGGGGTGGCCAGTGAGCCAGAGCCAGAGGTACCAGAGTACCAGAGTACCACAGTACCAGTCCCATCCCTGATGGCAGAGAACGCTCAGCCCAGGAGGCTGGCAGTGAAGCCCCAACTTTGGATTCCAGCAACAGCGACCAAGTCCCAGGGACTTCAGTGCTGGCACAGACACAATTCCTATGCACAGAAACACACTTTTCCAATGATCTACTTGTGAGCCCTTTGCTTGGTTCCTCTCCTCCAAATCTCTGCTGATATTAAAGACAGTCTTCCTTTAAACAAACAAACAAACACATCACCTGCCAATTGACTGGGGCTGCTCTAATGGCCTGAAGTGAGGCCAGCAGAAGAAGCATGCACCTGAGTCCATCCAAAGAGCAAGCAGGTGAATGCTTGCTATTTTAAACCATTAACTGATACACCTGCTTAATAGCAGGCTTTGTATTTGATGCTCCTACTGCATTTACAACACCTCTAATTCACCTTGGGGACATATAAAGCACAAGTAAGACACGGGCTATATGACAAGATTCTCCAGCCACATATTTATTCAGCTGGAAGCACCGTAGGAAAGCAGTTTCTTGGTCAGTGCTGGAATGGTTGATACTGACAAGATGCTTCTCTTTTTGGCTTGATGAGAAATGTCTAAATCACTTCCATTTTAAAGATAGCTTTTGGGGATCCCTGGGTGGCGCAGTGGTTTGGCGCCTGCCTTTGGCCCAGGGCGCGATCCTGGAGACCCGGGATCGAATCCCACGTTGGGCTTCCGATGCATGGAGCCTTCTTCTCCCTCTGCCTGTGTCTCTGCCTCTCTCTCTCTCTCTGTGACTATCATAAATAAATAAAAATTAAAAAAAAAGATAGCTTTTGTTGTTACTTTTATTGTGAATGTAATAGCACATACTCTATCTTGGATAATTCAGAAAAGCAAAATGAATATAAAGGCCTCTTCCTCCCCAGATGCTAGTGAAATGTGAGAAGATACTCAAAGAGAAAAGTCTGCACAAATGAAGAATGGGGATGAGAGCAGAACCAGAGATTTTGACATATTTCTGGAAAGTAGGTGATAACATAAAGATAAGAGAATGCTGTCCTCCAGACAGGCACGGGAGCTGGGCCTCCCAGACTGAGAGGTCCAAACTGGAGCTGGCTGGTGCTAAGAGCAAAACTGGTTGTGAGACAGAATTCAGAAAGCTAATTTAATGGTTGTGTAGGAAACAGAGAGGCCTCTTGGTCTCTATCCCAATTCCCAATCAGTTCGACAACTGGCCCCAAGGATGCTTTGTCCTTGAGCCAAAAATAGAAAACAGTCCTCTAATCAAATTGAACAACCTACTTGGAGAAGACTAAGACTTGAATGCAGTGAAACTCCTCCTTGTGCAGCCCTAGGGGAGTGCCCACACACCTGCCCACCTGCCCTAAAACCAGGCCTGCCAGGTACTTGCCTGGCTACTAAACTTGGAGTTGCCAGTCAGCACACCCACTCCCTTTTCACAGGAGAGGTCTCCTGGGAATACTAACCTACCCATGTTAGTCTCCTTCATTAATCAGTGAAGTCCTTTGTTAAAAAATATGAGTAGACAACTAGGGATCACTAGATATTTGAAACAATCCAATGGCATGGGAAAGAAGGACCAAAATAAACTAAAAGCAAACATTTAAAATTGAAAATGGGGCAGCCCGGGTGGCTCAGCAGTTTAGCGCCACCTTCAGTCCGGGGCCTGATCCTGGAGACCCAGGATCAAGTCCCATGTCAGGCTCCCTGCATGGAGCCTGCTTCTCCCTCTGCCTGTATCTCTGCCGCCCTCTCTCTCTCTCTCTCTCTGCATCTCTCATGAATAAACAAATAAAATCTTTAAAAATGAAAATGAAGGTAATGAATCTAGGGTAATGAAAATTACTTTAAAAATTCTAATAAATAACTTATTTGAAAAGGTACTGCATCCCCTCCACACAACAAGATTCTGGTCTACTGCAAATGATATATATTATGTATACAATATATACATTATAATTTTATATATACATATATATAATTAAAATGCCATTTGCTTTCCACACCCCATTTACAGACAAAGCATGAAAGGTCCTCACTGTCAAGACGTCCATTTTTCTACTGGAAGCACACGCAAGTCACCAACTAGCCTGACAGAAGCCTGGATGCAGACAAAGAAAGGAACAATAGAGACAGTTCATCTTACAGATGGAATCAAGATAGGTTTTTAAAGTATATGAACAACAACAGTGGTTTAAATGTGTTATATGAAGTGATGGAGGTCCCTGGATTTTAATAAAAAGTTTTAATAAAACTTTGGAGGGAGGGGAAAGAGGTAGCAAGAAAGTGGGCTATTTATGAAAGTCTAAAGTTGACAAATCAAGAAATGATAAGATAAACATGTTAGTTAGAATTGTAGTAGTAACCCCAATAAATGTTTACAGGTGATTGCTTGGGGCATTGGGACTTGGCATGAAGATGGGGGCATGAGACTCCTTAAGTTTTTGGGTTTTTTAAAGATTTTATTTTATCTTATTTGAGAGAGAGTGCTGAGCATGTGCATACATGAATGGGGGGAGGTGCAGAGGGAGAGGGAGAGAGAGTCTCAAGCAGACTCCCCGTTGAGCACAGAGTCCCATCTCAGGATCCTGACATCATGACCTGAACCAAAATTAAAAGTTGGCTGCTTAACTGACTGAGCCACCCAGGCATCTCAACTCTTTAAGTTGACTATCATTTTATATTATTTGATTTTTTTGAACCAGGTACATGTAATTAATGTAAAAGCACTAAAAAACAAATAAAAGAAGATTAAAAGTTCTACCCAAAGTTCTACCACTGGAACTTGACATCTGAAGAATGTTTTTTATGGACTGAGTATTGGTGTTTTCATAAAGGTCATATGTTGAAACCTAATCCCCAATGTGATGCTATTCGGAGGTGGGGGCTTTGGGAGTGGAGGCCCTCATGAATGGGATAGTATCCTTATAAAAGAGACCCTAGAGCACTCCTTCACTCCTACTATGTAAGGACACAGTGAGAAGATGGCCATCTATGAACTAGGAAGTGGCTAATCTGCTGGTGCTTTGATCTCAGACTTCCCAGTCTCTAGGATTGTGAGAAATAAGTTTCTGTTGTTCACTGAGCCACCCAGTATGCAGTATTTTATTATAGCAACCTGAACAGACCAAGATGGTGCTCTTCTTAGATGATCCTGAGGACCTAATCAACCTATGTAGATTGGGAGGAGTCCAGGAACTGGTGGTGTGTGTGTGTGTGCGTGTGTGTGTGTGTGTGCGCGCATGTGCACATGCACATGTATACACACATCGGGAAGACAGGGTTAATCTAAAGCCTACTGGTGCAGAAGGGGCCTCAGGGCCAGTGCTGCTCTGAGAGACCAAGTTTTTCAAGGGGGAGGATGCTCTCCTTCTCCTGTCAAAGCAGTTCAGCAGACAAAGCCTGTGGGGCAGCATCTGGGTAGCCACCAAGAGTAGCCAGGAAGTAGTGATGGTGGCAGTGAAGGGGCATGCCTCCTCCTAAAAGGTTCAGGACTTCACTGAAGAGGAGAAGTTGCAGATGGGCTTTTTCCTGAGCACATGTGAGGGGTTTCCAGTACATGTAACACACATACTGTCTTTTAACATGGAATCACAAAGGCTTCGATCTGGCAGATGGCTTCACAGGGCAGTCTGTCACTTCATTAAGTCTCTGCACAAATGTCATCCCCTTGTGAGGCCGTGCCTGACCACCTTAGCTAGAATACCGTGACCAGGGGTGCCTGGGTGACTCAGTCGGTAAGTCAGCTGACTCTTGGTTTTGGCCCAGGTCATGATCTCAGAATCCTGAGATGGGGCTCCGTGCTCAATGGGCAGTCTGTTTGAGATTCTCTCCTCTCCCTCTGTCCTCCCCCCACCACTGCTTGCATGCACGCATGCTCACACTCTCTCTAAAATAAATAAGTAAATCTTAAAAAAAAAAGAATACCATGACCACACCAACATGTTTTCTATCACTCTCATTTTCTCTTTCCATTTTTCTAGAATGCCTCTCTGCAACTGATGTATAATTATATATGATTGTATATAGTTGTTTATAAGTTAATATATTGCTGTATTAATGATTTTTTTTGGACTGGGTTGTAGCTATTTTATTATTTATTTATTTATTTATTTATTCTCTAAATTTTAATTTAAATTCTAAGTAGTTAACATACAGTGTAATATTTCTTTCAGGAGTAGAATTCAGTGATTCATCATTTACATACAACGGACCCAGTGCTCATCACAAGAACTGCCCACCTTAATACTGATCATCCATCTAGCCCATCCTCTATCAACCTCTCCCCATCAACCCTGTTTGTTCTGTATCATTAAGTCTTTATGGTTTGCCTTTCTCACTTTCTTCTCCCTTCCCATATGTTCATTTAGTTTGTTTCCTAAATTACACATGGG